TTTTTTGGTCCCTTTTTTGGTCCCTTTTTTGGTCCCTTTTTTGGTCCTTTCCATCAGTTTCTGAGCAGTGCCCCCCACTTTTGTTTTCTCACCAAGGAGGACCCTTAATTGTGTCTCTTAATATCTATGAAGCAGCTTTGGAATATGATCTTTTGTAGCTGTTTCTTATCCATTGACAGTTCTTAGAAGGAAAATTAGATAATCTCATCCTGGTATTAGCACTGCTCTGTTCACAGAGTGCTTAAAAACACTAATCCTGACAACATCCCTGCAGGATGGGTGTTGGAGCCATGGAATTCCAGGCTGGTTTGGGTTGAGAGGGGGCCTTAATGATCACCCAGTTCCACCCCCAGGGACACCTTCCACCAGACCAGGCTGCTCCAACCTGGCCTTGAACACTTCCAGGGATGGGGTATCCATGGAATAATCTGTGCCAGGGCCTCACCACCCTCACAGGGAAGGATTTATCCCTAATTATCCCAGCTAAACTTACTCTCCCTGCGTGAGTTGAGTAGGAAAGAGAAGTGGTGAGGCCAGACCAAACCCTCCCAGTCCCGTGGCTTTTATGGGTGGTTGTTGCTGATGGTGATTGTGGCTTGTCCAAAGTCCACCACTTCTCCTGGACTGAGAGGAGACTTGGAACATTCCAGCTGTGGCTGGGAATGGCTCTTTCCTGGGATCTCTCCCCCCTGAAGCACAGGGTGGTGATGGCGTGGGGAAGCAGCAAATGACTGTTAATTGGTTATTTAGGGGGAGCAGCTTTTGGGGTGAAACTGGGAACTTCTGGAGTCCCACGAGGGGGGGAATGTGTGTCCTGAGGCAGGAGGAGCTGTTGGTTTTAGGGGATCTTTGGGCTGGGCAGGGGTCTCAGCCCACCATGGGGGTGGGAGCTGGAGACTGACAGGGATGAGACCCCTGAGCTGTCCAGAATGTCCTGATCCTGTCCTGTTCCCTGGACCAGGAGAACCCTGCCCCCAGGACATACCCATCCCGGGGCCTGGGGTCCTGTGCTTGTGCTCTCCCTGCAGGCTGCTGGAAGGGAAGTGGGATAATAATGGGAAATTCCTGACATTCCGAGGAGTCTGCGCAACCTCGACCCATCTCAGTTTCTCAGCCCCCTCTCTCAGGGCTCCCTTTGATGCTGCTGCTGCTTTAACCCCTTCACAGCCTCTGCCTGTCCTGCCCCTACCCCCCAGGGCAGCTCTGGATGTTTGGAATTGTGCACAGAAACTTGAGTTGGATCCTTTGTTCTTCCCACTGTGCCTGTCTTGGAGCAAAGGGAAGTGAGGAGCAGCTGGAAGCTGCTGGCACAGGAGGCTCTGCCAGCCCCAGTTCCAGGGGCAAGGGGGGGGTGAAGGGAAGCTCCAAGTTTGGATGTAGGGCTGGTTCCCTCTGGAGTGTCCTGGGGAATAAGAAACTCCAGGCAAGGTGAGAGTGCCTGGCAAAGGCCAGCCCAGGAGGAGCTCACCCTTCCCAAATGGAGTCGAGGGACAAAATCTTCTGTCCCCGGAGAAGGGGGTGGAAAAGCAACGTTTATCCTGGCAGGGAGAGAGGCTGCTTTTCTGAACATGCCTCAGCACAGGGTCTCCTCTGTTTGAGCCGTGGCCTCCTGCCAAATTCCTGAGTTTCTTTCTTCAAGAGAGCAGGAGGAAGAGGGCTGGGCTTCCTCCAGCTCTGACATTGCCCCAGCAATAAATCCGTGAGAAGCCTTTGGGGACAGTGGCTGGTTCCCTCTGCCCTCCCTGTGCCAGGGTGTGGGAATTGTCTGGTGGCAGCTGTGAATGTCTCCACCCTCCTCCCTGTCCCTCCCTGGGCTCCAGCTGGGCACTGGGGGGGACTGGTTGCTCACTGGGAGCAGCATCCAGGGCTGGGCTGGACTCTGTGAGCACTTTGAACTGGAACAAGGAGGGAAAATCCAGCTGAAGTCTGAGACTGGTTTAAATGAAGGGTGTGAGGAGAACCTGGATACAAGGGACAGGCAAGACCCGTGTTTGAGGGCCCAGCTGCTCCCAAATATACATTATATGTAGGTTTTAATATTTAAGTGGCTGTGCTGGGGGGATGGCAGAGCTGTGCTGAGGCTGAGGGAGCGGGGAGGTCCCGGTGGAGGTGGTACCTGTGGCTCAGTGTGCAGCACAGATCCCGCTTGGAAAATCCTGTCTGGGAGTTCAGAGCTGAATGTTCAGTCTGGGGAGGCTTCAGAGCCATCCCTGGGCAGTGATGCTGCTTGGAATGCTGAGGGAACGCTGGGATGGGGAGAAGGAGCAGAATCCTGGGCAAGAGGCTCCTTCTCTGCCTCTCTTGGCTACAGGGGATCATCTGCTGCTCTCCCTTGAAGCCATCAAGACAAGAGCCAAGGCCGGGCTTTATCTCTGTGGGTTTGCCTGAATTCCTGCTGCTGAACAAGCAGTTCCCAGTTGGATGCATCCCTGTCCAAAGCCCTGGCTGGGCACACACATCGGTGTGGTGGATCAGAGGCTCTGCTGCTGCTCCCAGGGCTGGGCTCGGGTTTCTTTCCCTGCTGCTGCTGCAGAGAAGCTGCAGGAAGTTCCTGCCTGACTTGCAGCATTCCCTTCTCCTGCTCCAAGGAGACCCAGCCTGGCCTGGCACATCCTCCTGTGGTGGGATGGTGCTGCCCACCCAGCCCCCCTGCTCGGCTCCACAATCCCGGGCTGTCCCATCCCACCAACCCAGAGCCCCAGGACGTCTTGGTGCTGCTCCACCCCCACATCCCCCTCACTAAAAACTGCATTTTTTTTTTTTCCCCTCCTCGAAAAGGGGCTAAAGGTTGTGTGAGGCTGCCAGAAATATCCCCCGCGGGGGGGTGGGGGTGTCGGCAGGTCCCCGCTCTCCATCTGCCGTGACTTCAGCTTTCCCTCCCGGAGCTGCTTTTTCCTGGTGGAGAAAACCACACCCGGCGTGGCCCCAAAACGTCCCGGAGGGGGGGCGGGGGATCGGGATGCGGGGCTGGAATTCCTCCCCTCTGAGTCAGGGAGAGCAGATCCCGCCCGGCTCACCTGGCGTTCCGGGAGCTGGGAAACCTTGAAAATCCCCGGGCATGACCCAAAAAACCCTCCCTGGCGGATTCCTCACCGTTAAAAAAATCCTGCTTTTCCAAGGGATCTGATGCCTCCGGGCTAATTCCCGGCTTGGAAAAAGTTAGTGAGCAGCTCCACAAGGAGCCAAGTGATCGGCTCTTGGCATCGTTCCCTGCTCCATCTGGGAGCAGCTTTCCTCGCTAATAAAGTGATCTTCCAAAGTGGAGGGGGGGGCAGGAAGGGAAAGAGGAACAACTGTGCTGCTGGGATGGAGTCCAGGTGTTTATCCCAGGCTTTGTTTGTGCCGAGTTCCTGGATGGGAGGAGCTGCCTCTGTGCTGACTCTGCTTCTGGGGTGCAGGGAGGTTGCTGGAACGCCAGAATTCCTGGATTTTGGGGATATGGTGTTGTGGTGGGCTGATCCCGCTTCTCTGCTGAGCTTGGGGAAGGGCTGGCTGAGGAGGAGAGAGGATGTGGTGTGTGGGAAAGCGCCTGAGTAATGCTGGGATTTGATGGCTGGAAGGCTGGGAATGTTGGTGAATCCTCTTTGGGGTGGAGCATCTGTTTCTGGAGGGCTCGGGAAGGGCTTAGTCCTGGGGCTGTCGGTGCTGCTGACCTCTCCCAGCTGACACTGTTCCCCCTGGAAATCCCAACATTCCACAGAGCTCTCCACCCCATCCCTGGCTGTCACTTCTCCCTGGCTGGCTTCTCCTGGCAGGTGTTGGGATGAGATGAAACCAGGGATTGCCCCAGTGAGCCCAAACCAAAGCCCTTGTGGATGAAGGTGAGGTGGGAGGGTGGAAATCCAGCCGGGATTCCTGCAGGGACCTCCCCTCCCTCCCGGGCTCACCCTGTGCGTTGTTGCTCCTTTCCAACAGCCCCAGGTGTTTTCCACACACCTGGAAGAAGTTTCCCAGCTGCTCCTGGGGTGAGGAAGAGGGGAATATGTGCACAGCTGAGGTGATTTTCCCTTTCCCCTTGCCCAGGGAGCTCACAGTGTCCTCAGAGCCAGGAGCTGCCCGGCTCTGACCTCGGCTCCA